GGAGTCCCCATCCCTGGAGGGGTTTCAAAGCCATGGAGATGTGGTGCTGAGGGACGTAGTTTAGTAGTGACCTGGCAGGGCTGGGTTAACAGTTTGACTTGATGATCTTAAAGGCCTTTTCCAAGCTAGATGATTCTATGATTTTATGATCATAAAATATAATGAGCTTGAAGCTAGTTAAATGTACTTGAGCACCTCTGAGACAAAATTATGAGATAACAGGTGCCAGGGGGCTCTCTAGAAACTGGAAGTATGTTTACAACGAAGAAATAATCAAGGATTAAATTGAAGCTGAAACTCCAAAGAGTTTGCAACAATATCAAAAAATGAGCCTGTAAACCCCATAAGGCAGCAAACTAGTGACTGAAAAATGTCAGTTGGTCCCTCGCTGCGGCTGTGACCACGTGTCGCATGCAGTTGTAGGCTTGCTGATAACAGAAATATGTCAACAGTTTGGCAAGATTTCAGAGAACAGGAGGGGGAAAAGGGTTCCCTTGGGAGCTCAGGACTCTCAGGCTCTGTCCATGTCATTCTTGGCACCTTCTGTAAGTTTGGGACCTGAGGACCTTAAAAGGACTGAGCCAAATTCTTCCTTAAGCTATTTCTAGATACAGAGGTACAGGTTTGCAGCAATCGGGAGAGTAGAATGGCAGCAAAACTTGGCTCAAACTCTTTTGTGTCAGTAAGCAATAAATTAATGAGGCAAGGAGTATCCTGCTCTTCATGTTTTTGGAAAACAGTGAGGGTGATCCCAGTAAGTATGAAGAAAAGTAATGGGAAATAGAATTACATAAGCAAGTCAGAGTAATCAGAACACAAATCCTGCTAGGATGCAGAATAAGAAGTCCCAGGAGTCCTGTTACTGAAGTACTTTAAAAATAGAAGAGAGAAAAAAATGAGCAATCCTACACTGACAGAGAGCAGGGAACTGTAAATCTCCATCTTTGATTTCTACGTTAAAACTCTGAGAATGAGTCTTTTATTCAAAGAAATTGCCACAACTATTCTCTTCCTACAATAGAATTTTTGCTTGACTATAAAAAATTAAACCCTCAGGATATGTTCTCATGGCTGCAAGTCTAACTTCAAATACAGTTTCTTGGGTTTCAGGTTTGGTTTTTTTTTCCCTTTTTAGGAGAAAAAGGGAAAGCCCTCCCTTACCTCTCATTTTCTCTTCCACTCTTCTCCTCCCACCTGCGCATAGACTCTGCATATCTAAGCTAGGTATTTAATTGGAATGTTTGTCTGCACAACGTTAGTAATTAAATCCATGAGCTCTGGCATTTGTATGAACTCAGCATTTTTTTTTTTTAAATGAGAAATTACGTAATCGTTTCTAGTCTGAACTGAATCTGTCATTTAAATCTGTTTGTGGTACTTCTTACCATGACTGTTCTCATCCTGCACATATTTGTATTGATTCACAGAAAAACTTCTCTGATTAACTAGTTCCCAGTGGATTATTCGTGCCCTCAAAGCAACTCTTAGAACAGTTTGAACTCTTAAAGTGAAATGAGTTAATTCATAAAGAGAAGACAGAGTGTAAGTTACCATTCACAAAGAATTCGGTGCAGCCACTCTGAGCAGTGACCTCGTACGTTAGTATCCAAGATCATAAATTAAAAAGAATTGTTAAACTGATAAACTTGCTCAGAAACACTTTTCAAAATATCATAAAATGAAATAATAATCTTTTAATCAGAATTGTATTTGGCTTAGACTATGGGGAACAAAAAATTCAGATACAAACTATTTTGTGACGGTTCATGCTAAAATATATCTTTTGAATTGCTGAAGCAACGTGTAAACACATGGTCTCAAAATACCTTTTTAAACAACTTCTCACAGAAGATAGCAATATTCTAATTTCTTTTCCCTCTCCATCTTCTCTTTACTATCTCATATATAGTAAACAATTTATAGCAGACATTTTTTTGCTTTAATGTTTGAAGTCGGGCGTCAGAAAATGATTTCTAATAAGTGGCTGAACTGAAGGATCCCATCTTGCTGAATGAGCCTGTAGCCAGCAGCCATTAGCTGGGACACACACAAACAGGACTATCAACCGGTGGTTTTGGCACGTGACCTCTTCCACTGCACATACAAATATAGAACATGACCATAAAAAGTAACAGAACATGCTCTCTGCAAAGTAATTTATTGCAGTTGATGCTAGATTGGTATGCCAGCTGGAATTACCTTCTAGGCTCCTGCTATTTCCACACACACAGATAGTAAAGGCTGAGCACTGCGACAGATCCCCAAAGAGAAAAGATCAGCGTTATCACCAAGAAGCAAAACTCTGCAAAAGCAGCTTCAGCAACTGTTTGAACGTGTTTGCTAATGACTCGTAGCAGGAGTTAGAGAGCTAAATGAATACCAGGGCTTCAGCACTTTCACGGCGAGGGAAAAACACTGCTTTTTGTACAATATACATTTCTGTCTTTGCTGAGCACAAAAAAACATCTAAGGATTATTACACGTATAGGAGCTTTCTTTTTGTTTGAATTCTTTCTTCATTAGTTTGTAAGCTGCAAGAGCTGAGCTAATTTATTTTTCCAGGGCATTTTCCTCTCCCTCTTTTTTTTTAAAAGGCACCACGTATGACATCCCAACATGACAGGAACTCAGTAAATCCCCTCAGTCTCCACACCGCTGTCTCTGAATGTCTACAAAGCTCCTATGCCATAATCGCAACGTGCTGGCTCATTCACAGCTTTACATTATAAAGCAAACAGTCTAGACAGCTGAATGACAGAATTACTCTCTTTTCTCTTGCATTTATAGATATGCTGTCATCTTCATTTGCTTTTCTCTACTCTGTGCATTCTGATACACTAATGATTAGCTTTCCTGTTTGGATTCCACACTGACTCCGTGGCTCTAGGCTATAAATACAACCAGAGCCCAGATGACATCACATCAATAAGGTCCTGGGTCATAGGGGGGGCACTCCTGCTTCTTTCCTTCTCCTGGGTTAGCTGTTGCTAACCAGCTTTTTCAAAGTGGTTAACCACTGTGGCTTTACAAGAGGATTTTCTTCCTCGTTAAGATGGAGTTGTAAAAAGCTGAGTGCCTGGAACTGTCACTCTCTGCAGTGGAAAACACTGTTCAAGTTGCACAGATAGGCAGCCTTTCATTATTTCCAGGTATATAGTATAGCTGAATATATCTGGGCAAAAAATTAGAGGAAAAAAGAGAAACAGAATGAACAATGTCAGTTTGGATGCCTATTAAAAATGTGTACCTAGCAGTATTTATGGTAAGAAACCCCAAGTAACTGGACTGGGTTTGTTCTCTCTGAGAAAGGAACTTTAGTCTGTAATATTCCCAGTATTTTAACTTAGGAATGATGTGCACACACATATCAAGTGGCATGATGGTTGAAGGATACTTCCTTGCCTTCAACAAGTTGCAAAAATCTACATAAGCGTCATAATGTGCAACTAAGACACGGAGACCTGTGGCCAGCTCTGGTGATGTTTATAACAAGATTTCTTTTCTCTATTGCTTCTCTTATTGCTTCTCTACGTGTCATTCTGGATTGCTGGAGAATCTCTTAACTCAGCATGGTTGTGTTTTGTTTTTGTTTTTGTTTTTTTTTTCTTGTTTTGTTGTCATTTTTTAAATGAAAGTTTCTAAACTTTGTAACTGGAAAAATCTCAAAACCATTGGGACTGGAAAAACAGAAAATCCTACTGATGGCACATCAGCACAGGAGGCTAAAGAGTGAACCAGAGCTTCTCCTCTTACCAGAGGTGGGACAATACCAACGTTTCAGAACACTGCATTACGTTCAGGGCCATCAGAAACTGTTCACTGGGGAATATTTTACCTACGAGCACGAAGAGGTTTGTGGGCCACTGGGTGCAATTGTATTCACAGCCAATATAAATGACAGCTTGAGGCCTGTACCAGTGGGAATTTTGCCTGTTCTCTGTGTGTCGTGACCCACTTTTACTCTCTGAGATCAGGGACAGCTGGAAAAACAACTCATCCCTTCTTGCTTGGAACTCTATAAATCTAATGTCTTGCCTGGAGTATCTGTGTTGTTTTTTTTCCCCCTTTGAGTATCCTTGCCATTAAAACATACTGATTAGAAAAACTTTTAATTTCTGTCTCTAAGAACAGCAGCGACAGCAAAATAGCAATAATCTCTGTGAGTTGCAGAGTGTTCTGACAGGAAAACACAGAATTTAATCAGCTATGGAGAAGGGAGCTAGTGGAAAAAGAAAGCACTGAAGGCCATGGAGAGGCTGTGCAAGTGAAATCTTCATTCACTGCACACTCCAGGAAGGGAGACTCAGGTGTGATCCCACAGGAGGACTACACAATTGCTGTTCCCAGGAAGGATACAGAGCTATTGGCCAAAACCTTGTACCCTCTAGAACCTCCTCGTGAGATTTCAGAACAACTCCACAGCTTCCCTGAGCTTTCTAGTTGCCAACAGACAATTTAAATAAGTAGTTTAGTTTTGGTTTTTTTTAGTTTGCCAGTATAATAATTAGATAAATCAACTCGATATAAATTGTTTTTTCATTTTCTTGACAAAATGCTTTGCCTTCCTTCCAGAATTGGACTAACCTGGACCTCAGCTTGTAGAATACTTAGTCTAAGGGCCAGAACTGATTTTTCTTTCAACAGCTTATCCCCTGACCTCAAAGTCTGTGATAGAGCATGTGTGGCTAGCAAAAAGCCATTCTGTTCCATGGCATTTCCAGCTTGCCAGAGAAACCCTGATCCCACTGGCAGCCATAAAGTGGAATACTCCTTTGGTTCCTTCCATGATCTTACATGTATTGGCACAGAAAAGGTTCTCAGCTCTGACCCATGGCTTTCAGCTGATTGCAGCACCATGCAATGACACTGAAAGCGAGACTCTACACGCCCTGTATAAATAAAGTAACAAATAAAAGCAGATACAGGGGTTGATACTAAACATATGGGAACACAGCCTTTTTAACATGCTGCCTCTTGAAACTTTAGGTCACTTTTCTTACCTCTTGAGGCTCTTGACATTGAGATGCTAACACCAGGAAAGATCTTTGCGCTTGGAAAGCAGCACGTACCATCTCTGCCTGTAAGAAAAGGAGGAATATAAATTAAACCTTAGCCTGTAACCTCCAATACCTCTTCTTGGCAGCTCAAAGTCAAGTGTGACAGCTCAAATCTTTCTTGCTGCTTCTCATCTAAATCACAGCAACACTGACTGGAAGAAATGTATTGCAGTACTGGCTTAGCTGTAAATTTTTTTGAAATCTAAGGTTAAGTTCTCTATCTTCTTCAGAGAGGAAATAAAATGAGTTGATATGCAGTCTTCTGGTTATTATTTATAAGATTAATCACAGGAGGACTTAATTTCAACACTTCAGAGAATGTCTAGGCGATGTTTCTACTCAAGTGCATGATAAAAACTTCTTACTGCTGAGAATGGCAACCTGCAAACTTTCTGTGGAACTCTAACTTAGGCTGTGGTGATGTTTAAGAAGAGTTCAGCTTGGCATATTCATTCCTTGCCTGTCCTCTGTGAGCAGACCCTAAGGTTGACAGCTATTCATCACTAGTGTGTATTGCTAAATAAAACCCAAACCAAATGTTAAGTTAATCTAATATGAATAGATACATTTATAATCACTTTGTGAAAGGGTGGGGAAGCTCATGCTGTTTTTTCTTGGGGTTTCTTCAATCTGAAAAGAAAACAAGGAAATTTTATATACAGGCCTATGTGGACGCAACTTAAAATACATAAAAGTCAGGAAATTTGAAGCTGTACCAAAGTAAAACAGCCAAATTGTGTTTATTCATCTTAAAATGTGATGGCAGGAATAAAACATAATCTGTTAGGATGAAAATCACTGGAAGATGGTAAAAGAGGCCCAACCTGGACAGTATTTGTGGAGAAGGGAATATTATGGTCTGACAGGCTGAGATTTGGAAGAGGGTATAAATAGATAAAGAAATAAATAATGAGGGAAATTATATGAGCATAGGAAACTTAAATTTTCCAGACGTAGACATAAATACCATCAATAACAGCAAAGTTTAGATATTCTTAGGCATTTCAGAAGACTGACTTTTTGGTACAGAAATTCATAAAACAACAAAGTGTGTGCTATTTTAAACTTCAGGGGTTTTGTGTGAGGACGATCTTGGAGAACATCTGACCAAAGCTGAATGTGATTATGAATGGACTCAGTTCTTCTTAAGTTGCAAGATGGACAAAAATAAATCTATTGCTCAGGTTTAGTATTTTTGAATGGCAAACTTCTGGAAAATAGAATGAAAATTACTGGCCTGAAGAGCTTAATGATTTACATGAAGGAAAGGATGGATTTACATTAAGAATGGGAAAATCTGTGTACACTGGGCAGGAGGGAGAAATTGTAAACAAGGGCTAGAATCTCTGAATGAATAAATAACTAAAGCCAGATACTAAGAATAGGTGTAAAAACCCCAAAGAGTGAGAAGAAGCCTTGATTATCAAGAACTTTTTTCCAGGCATTATAAAATAACAGAAGCAAAGGAACAATGGAAAAAGGTTTTGTTGAACTGTACCTTGCACAGAAAAGTAAAACAAAGCCATATTTTCTTTTTTAGCTGCTGGAACAATAAAGAAATAACGCGATGAAGTGAGGCCATGGCAGTGACCTGAAAGGTGAGTTGGGCATGCCTATGTCATCCTTGGTCTGTAGCTTACCTCTTGCTGAATAAATGCTTTTCCTCAATTTCAAGGAATATGATGTGCATGAAGATATTGAAAGGATGGGTAAGAGGTACGAGGATCAACAGGAATTACATCATTTGAAAAGGAAGTCAAATATATCTAGCTTAGTGTGGCAAAATCATTGGGCCCATATTGTCTTTGCTCAAGAATACTGAAGATACTGACAGATGGAAGCACAAGTAGAAAAGATTTTAAATATCTAGCATTTGGAGAGAGTACCAGATGACAGAACTATGTAATGATGAATTGGACAAATATGCCCAAGAAGAGGGGAAAAAGTATGTCAAGTGGTTTCATGGCTGTTAGTTTGACTCCAGCACCATGCACATTTAGAATGGATTTCAAATGAGTGATTAAACACATATATGAAAATTACAAATGGGAGAAATTACAATAGGATTATCTGTGGTTAAAAAAATTACTTTTGGGGATTGTTTAGAGTTTTCAGGTTTTTAGGTAAGGATTAAAAGGGCATAAAAAACATGGCTTTTTCACGTTTTCTTATCATCACAAGGTTATTATAGGATGTTGGAAATGTTCAATGGTCAGCAGACTAGATACTGATTGCAAGGCTTGTACTGTATGCCTAAAATTTATGCAGTCTCAAAAGCTTTTAGTTGTGTAGGGATCAGAGCACTCACATCTCTCTACTTAGAATTAAAATCTTAACCAAAGGATCATGCTAACATAGGTTTTGCATTTTACAAGGAGAATTTTATAAGATTTGTGCCACAGTTACCTCCTTCTTTCTCCAACAGCATTAAAAATGGCTTTTGGAGTGTTACTGTTTCCAAGCATGCAGTACTTCTTCCCTTGCATCCCATCAAAGTCATAGAAGAGCTTCTTCTCATGAAGAATGCATTAGTTCAGTCTATCACCATTCCAGTTCCTTCTTGTAGTCTCTGAAATGTGACTCCTCATTGCTGCCTCCTCCTCGTCAGCAGGCAGGCTGTGTAACCAAGCAGCCAGCACTATTTTTTACAGGGAGATGACTCTGTCATTAGACCCCCACATCCAGTGATGACTAATGAGTGAAAATGGAGCGGGGAGGGGGGATATTTCTCAACAACTTGTGCAGCTCATCCAAGAGATTGCCACAGAACAAATCAGCTGAAACTCTTTCAGTTATAATGAATGATAGGCATGAAGCCTGAGTGTCAAAATGCATGGCAATCATGACTAAGTATCAGAACAGACTAGAAAACAAGTTTGCACACATCTGTCTGCAGAGAGAAATGGGAATATTTTGGACCCATTGCCCTGATGAACAAGTGACCCTGCATGTGATGAGCATCTCAAAATTACAAAAACCTGTAATGCTCTATAACTGGTGTGGGGAATTATCTTCAGAACCATGTAAGTGCAACAGATAATCAACATCTAAAAAC